ATCATGAACACGACCCCCCCTTCACATCAAACAATAACCATCCTAACTGTCAATATTAAGTAAATGGTAATTAAAAGTAATTGAAACAATGATAACATGAAGTTATAGTGTAGTATACATGCAAATATATCCATACCAGTCCGTAGATGTTATGACACTAACCTAGGGCTTGCTACCATGTAGCCCACAACAGGCACCCACCATTCAGCCAGCAAATCCTCACAAGCTTACATCAATTTGTGCATTTTGTTTGAGGCAATGAAAATGCACAAAATCAGAAGAACTTACTGCGGGTAACTTGATGTTCCGGCATGAAACAGGAGTTTTGTAATGTCATTTTTAATTGTCCGTCTGTCTTTTTTTTAATTCTAAATTAACAGAGTTTTTGGGTTTGTATGTTTTACTTTTGTTTTTGTTGTTAGTAATCAAGTTTGTTTTTTTGCAATCTTGAAGGGGTGCTAGTTGTGTTGTGTGCTGTCTGGTTTTTTTTAATGATAGTTTTCACTGCATTTTTGTAAATATTTCCTTGTACTGGTACATGTATGTGTTTTGATTGTTGATTTTTTACCTACAAAATTAATAGATGAAATATGAAATGAAAATTGTTTGCCACACTTTACAGATGCAAACACAGTGACAAGAGCTAGAAGGAAATAATTCATCAATTACCAGCACTTCATCTGGTCTGAAATAGCTCTTCCATGCTGAAAATGAAACGTGGTGAAGTTGATTCATGAACATCAATACACATACACAGGAGGTCGACCCTATCTCTTATAGTATCAGAGTGGCCATACGCAAACTCACAAGTGCTGAACTACATGTACATGTAGTTCAACTGGATTGGTGGTTGGGTCATTAGGGTTGAGTCAATTCAAATAATTCACTATTTGAATATTCAACCTTCAATTTGATCGAATATCTGAATATTTGGTCATACCGACGGGTAAATTGTGGAACAAATCATCAGTTGCAATAACAGACACAATGGTACATGTACATTATAATCACTATAATAGATTCTCATGACAAGGAGCATGTCCAGTCATGATTCAGCAAGATTTAAGAGACGAACAATACTTCTTGACTTCTTGTCCAGTTGAAAACTTTTATTCCTTTTAAATTTTTTTATCAATTGTTGTAACATTTCTGTCACTTTTCATTTGAATCTGCTTGAAACTAGCCTCCATATTGCAATAATTCTCATTTGAAAGAAAGGAAAATTTTCCCTTCCTTGTCATGAACTTTGCAAATTCAGAAAATAATATTAGAATATTCGATAACAAACCGACACATCCCTATTTGTCATTCATACTAAGAGAAGGTTAGCAGGTGCACCATGTAAAATCAGCCTCTTCTGGAAGTGTGGTTATATTGAGAAGAACCATTGAGAAACGCCGAGTTCACATGCACCAGTGCTTCTCACAACCACAAGACTTGCACGTACATATGAGACTGATTCCACATGGTGTATTTCAAGTCCACCATGCCAAGTTTCAAATCTTACTTAAATTAAACACCCATAGAAACATCTTGGCATCTTGGCATACGTGCATTTGGAGTTAGTTTCTTCAATACAACGAGGGCAGATGGGTCATTCCACGAAGTTCAGGCACAGTTTGGGGAAAGACGGTTTTCTTTTTCATACCTGTTTAACAATGATTAGTCTGGGCATCTTTTGGATGGAAGAATTTTATATTGGATGTGTACACGTAGCACCATTTTTTTTAACTACAGTGGAACGCCGCTATACCGAACACCGCTATACCGCCGAACATTCGGCTGTACCGAACATCATCCTTGGCTCCCAATAATTTGTGCACAGAACCTACCGAACACTATTCAGTTGCCATTTGTAATTCCCGAACGTCAACATGATAAAACAGTCGGTGTTTTTTTATGTTGGAAAGTGACAAGTGGCCATTATTTCCTCAAGGATTAGAGGGGAAGCCACTAGTTGTCAACGGTATTGAATAGACACTGGTTTTGTGACTCCACATTATCGTGTACGGAAGAAAACCACACGTACGCGCACAGTGGTATTGCACTAACAATAGTCTAAAGAGGGTGCCGCTGATACACAAATCAACCGAGATTCGCCACAGCAAGCATCAGAGATCGATCCTAAGCGGTAGTTTCACCACTTTTAGGATAAACTCAATATCAATTTTTTGACAAGTTTAAATAAAAAGGAACAATAATTAACAGATACATTTCTAGAAACCTTAAACTTGAATTCGACGGCAAAACATCACGAAAACAGCAAGCCAAGGTATCACAAGAGGGTGCACTTTGGTTAGACAAGAGAGGGCACTATTCAACATGGCAACGAAACGTTCGGCAGTTAATTTCGCTATACCAAATGACCGCTGTACCAAACATTTTGCGTGGACCCCGTCTTGTTCTTATAGCGGCGTTCCACTATACATGTAACCATTTTTAAAAGGAGTGCCATTTAAGGTTTTTATTTTTTTGGAGAGGAGGTGGTTTCATTGCGGGGACAGGGGCATTGGTTCCTGAGATAATATTCATGCCTTTGAATGACGCATATTGTTGGACCCTGCGTACTCCATATTGCTGTGATACAATAATATACCAATATTATTATATTAGGAAGGGAACAGAGAAACCAGGGTAAAATTGTTTTTATGATGCTCAAAAATTGTGATGTCTGATATGGAATTCTTACCCTTTTGGACACCAGATAGAGTAGTAGACCATTTAGGACACTTTTGGGTTTATTGCGTTTTCAGTGCATACATACACATAAAAAAAATACAAGTTTGGCAACTTGGATGCACAGTTTTTCACTTCCAGGTAACTGAGGATACCTTGTTTTCAGATCATGCTAGTGACAACCCTGAAAAACAGCGCATTTAATTCCTCTACAGTCTTGCCTTCTCCACTCACCTGGTTTAAATTTTGTCCCCAAGTGTGCAGTGCCATTATAATTTTTTCTCAATTTATCATTTTTTTTCATGCAGCAAAATATATAATTTATTTTTTCTCAGCCAAAAATAAAATCAAGCTTCTCTGCTAATTGTTGCCAGAGACACCCCAAAATCGGAGATAATGCTTGAACAGTTGTCAGAATGGTAGTTTTGTATTTACATGTAGGGTGCGACAGACTTAGAGTAAGCAGCACTGTACCAGCGACTGGTCAATCAAACAAAATGTGTGATAAGGTTCAGTTATGGTGACAGGTACATGTACCTGTACATGAACTTGATTAACCCTCCTATGCTAAGATACATTCTTGACACAGTTGTCATATCAGTCAAAATCGATCAAGTTTCCCATATGTATCTGTGTACTGGGGGAAATCAAGTGGAAGGCATTTTTGACTGTTTTTGACGGTTAAAACAGAAGGAAGGTTAATGAACCGATAGATGGATTAATAAGTCTGTTACATTTTCACACTGGATAATTAGAAACTACTTTTGTGACAATAATGGCCTCCTTCCAAAAGGTACAAGAGTTTACCAAAGCAGGGATAAAAATGGAGGATGGAGGAACATCCATGAATCATACAGCACAGGGGGTGTTAAGGTGATACCAACGGAAAAACTGTGGACTTTAATAGCTATCGAGGCATCAGTTCACTCCAATATGGAAATGCAAATTGAAGTGCCAAAAAGATTTTTGGGGGGTTCAAAATCCTGAAATCTGGAAAATTCTGGAAAAACACACCTCTGCAACAAACTATTGGTTGACACCATATCTACACAGGAAAATTAACGTACGGATGGAATATTGCAGTTTAAATAACAGGAACCATATGGGAATTGTTACATATATCAAAAACGAAAATGATTCTAAACTTGCAGCCCAAGACTTATTGTGTCGGCTCTCTGTCATTACATGTACATGCACCAGTAAATGTCAAATGCTCACGCATCAGAAGGCACAGGTAATGTACGTACATGTAGCATACCTGTAGGTGGGGAAATATGAACACGACATCCATCACCAGAAAAGGTGACTCATTTTTGTGCATGAAAAAGCATGACCTTTCTCCAGCACTGCAGCACTCTCATTTCTAGTTGAACCTTCCAAGGCAGACTGCACAATTGCCTGTGCAAGAGATTGCATGTTTTAACACAGCAATGACAACTCTTTGGTGGGACTAGGACACACACTAGTGGTCACGCATGTTCGTGTACATATGGCCCACAGTGTGCTCGACCAATCTTTATTAGAATGTATGGTCTTTACATATGTACATGGGAACAAGGCATCAAGTTAAACAATTTTCTACTGGCCCCTTTTCTGTACCAATATGGGAGTTCTTTATTTGAGAGCTATGTGTACATGTATGTGCATTAATCTAAAATTTATAAGATAAAGAAGCAGGGAGCAGCTTCTGGAGAAGTGTCATCATCATGATCATGTGCAATAACAAATGCATCTTCTTCAATTCAGATACATGTACAACAAATGTTGCCCTCAAACATGTCAAATTCTCATAATGTTGACATTCTTGTCAGTTCTCACTTGGCAGGCCCAAAGATGGGCCTTGACCAACATGTAATCAAAAGGAAAGGTGGTTAACCTACCACAATAGATTAACAATGTAACCAATACTCATTTATGTCAATAGGCAGATCTAGGTATCCTTTGCAAACCACAGACATGACAGATTGATCTTGATAAGTTGATTTTTATCTAAAGCTAAGCATGCTAAGCCACATAGCCTACATGACACTTTAACCACAGACAGTACGATACATGAAGACACGACGGGAACAAAATCAACGCACCATGACAAGTGAATTATGTAAATCATGTCAACCTGGGCTATCCCTAGAGGCCGCTTGTCGTCCCATTAAGCCTGCCCAGGCCCATGCAGAAATGGGACATGAATGCAAGGCCTACCTTGAGCCATATTGACATGGTTGATATTTTGGTACTTGAACGTGTTGAACTTGCTCACTGGACGGACGGATGTCACTACCACAACAATTACCCGCACTCATGAAATGACAGCACCAAATACTCACCCTTTTCCTGACCATATCGTACACTTTCTCCTTTATTATTGTTGATCTGCTTTCCCCTGCGTCGTCTGGTATGGAAAACGTCTCTCGCACAAAACCAATCTGAATCGAGAAACAAGGCGCAGCGCTGCCAGCATTTGACGTTTTGCTCGTCACTTCGTCACCCATTTCGTTCTGTGATTTTCACCGATCGTGGGCCTTGGTCGTGAAATCATGCACGTTTTCTGGCTGAAGATTCTTAATTCTCCATGAAGCTGGGCGTTACTGTGACTGGGCGCTTCGAATCTACACGAACTGATGGCCGAAAATAGATCATGACTGTCCCCACTGGCCCGATGCACACCGCTGCCATAACTGTTTAGGCCGAAAGCATTATCATGGCGGAATGGTCACGTGACCTCAGGAGAAACTAAAATTTCCCAGCCAGTACGGTACAGTGCAGCTGCGATGTGATGACGAAGAATTTTACGTGGCTGAAATTATTCACTTCTAGAACACTGGATACTTAATTATTTTGCTGCGTCTGAAAATGAGGTCGTGCTTTTACATTCATCACACCTGAATGGTGTTTTTTTCTTTTGATCACGAAATATGCAAACCTACCCGGATGATCAGGGAGCATAAACTCTTGCGCCTGCTATAGTGCGAAGACTGAGGTTGCATGGGTAATTCATCTGTTGAGTCGAGTCTGTATAATGAGCAAGTGGCAAGTCATAATAGAAAAGATTTTTAATATTTAATGCATGGAAGTGTTGTTTAATTCCAAGCATTGTAATTAGTTTGTCCATGGTCGAGTACATGTAGCTGACACACATGCCTCCGCAGTCACCTTAATGGCGCGACTTGGAATCTGCTGTAAGTAGAAATGCTCCTTATAAGCGTATACACTTCACTTGGCGACTTCCCGCGCGAAATTGGGTCCCTATATTTGAGCATAAAAAGACTGAAAATTGTCCACGTCTGGAGATTGTGAGAAAATCGGAGAGGACACATATTCCTCTCTCCGTACAACAAGTTTTGATGTTCGAATTCGTTTTCATTACTGAAATATCAGAAAAAGAACTTGAAGGTATGCTGGATGTATACCGCTCCTTGAGTATTTCTAATAAGTCCTTTGACTACGCTCAACGGAGCCACTTCCTGCGCTAAGTTCGGTCCATATATTTGAACATTAAAAATCTGAAAATCGGAAAGTGTCATGTCCCTTTAATTTTTGTCATGAATGAATTTCGAAGAACGGAAGGCGTCATTTGATGTGCTTCATATTTCTTCAATCATCCCTTTGTCTTTCCACTATACGCTATACGATCTTACTGAGCTTTTCAAAATAACTCGTAACTTTTACATGTATTAGTCTATCCGTACCTAGCAGGAACAAAAGAGGGCGTGTTTCGAAATGAAATTGACAGTCACATCACTGACATTATCATGATTACAAACACATAGACCACGCGTATAACCTTGATTTTAAAAGGCGTGGGCATGGGCGTGGGCAAGCAGTAGGCGAAAGGATGGACGGCAGCGCGTCCAGTGCGAATTGTGCGTGACGCACTGGAAATGCACGTATTTTGTTTGCATGTGCTCGAAAAAAAATGCTTTTTTCTCTTTTGTACTGCTATATCTTCTTTTCAAATGTTGAAACCGCATTCTTTCGAATCTGCCAGATTAACTAAACAGAGGATTTTTTTCACAATCGGGAAATGGCTTCGTAGCATTTTATTGCTGAAATTCTTCAACTGTGTAAATTCCCTATACCGAGGGGTGAATTTGCCCACGCTTTTGGATTTAGTCGGTTGTCGTGTCAGCTATGGTACCCCGCCGTTACATTAAAATGATTGCAAAGCATTTCCCCAAATTCCGTTCCATTTGGTGAACCAAGCCTCACATTGTGTTACTAAAGACGGGTTTGCTGACAATGCCAAAAGCAAACATACATTTCCCTTGGGCCAATGTTGAATAAATAGACGTCATTATTTGACTGCAAATCACTCTATTAAAAATCATAACTGCGATAAAGTACCAAAGTCTGACGTCACTGTGAAACAGACAGTGTGTTCGAGCTATTCCTGAACACAAGTATACTCCTGAGCGCTCGAGCGGCTGAAGTACGATCCGTGGGTCTGCGAGAGTACAGACCAATTGCGTTGCTGACGCCATTACTCATTTACTGCAGTGTCCCCGTCACTCAGGTGGCATTCCTAAGCTTGACGAGCGCGTGATTTTGGTTAATGGGGAAGCATTCAATCATCTGTGATGTCATTACACTGCTAGCCAGCCGGGGTAGTGGTGGCCCACACCAGGGCAGGCATGAAGATCACGTGATAACTAAACCAACGCTCTAGTGTAAGTTTGACTTACACGTGTAAGCTAATCGAACGCACCCATAGTAGGATGTTTAAATTATACAATACCGGGGTTAGATCGCGCAAGGCAGCGTGGGAACCAACATGGCGCGGCAAGATCGTACCCATGGGAACGAGGTGGGATCGGCCTGTACTCTCGCTAGAGGGGAGTACCCGCTCCGAGAAGAAACAAAAGAGGGCGTGTTAGTTTTGAAATGAAAATGAGAGTCCCTTGGTAAGCATTTATCGCATAGATGCGCAAGGTTATGCGCGTTTTGACGCGGAACACGCGGAGTACGCGTAAAGAATTTAATCTGAAATGTGGAAAGGCTGCGTAGCACCGTGATCAGAATATCGACATAAATATAATATCAAATCAGTGCTCTGAAATATGTGATTGCCGACCTTTCGGTAAATATGTACCTTTTGCAGGTACTTAGTTACCGAAAGCTCGGCAATCACATATTTCAGAGCACTGATTTGATATGAAAAATTCTTGTCGTTAATCTGGAATGTATCTGGTTCGTAAGTGTGACGTCGCTTCAGTTTAAANCTACGCCCACTACACACGTGCGCTGCACACAGGGTTACATGCACTGATCGCCGTTTACATGAAACCATGGAACTGGAAGTTAACGCGCAACTTGAGCGATTGTCCAATGAGAGCCTGCAAATCGTGACGCGTCCGCCTTATAGTTTTGATTTTAGTCGGGCGCCGCGCAGATCACGAAAAACCCCTGTACTTTTGAGTAGAACCTGGCGGTCTATGCATTTATATGTCTGTGGTACGGTGCCACCGCAGTTATGGTGTCTAATCGGATTAGTAAATGCCACCATTTAGCGCGCTTTAGCACTCGCACGGGCGCACTGCCGTTCCCTGATGATTGTGTGTCATCATTCCTTGAGCACACGAAAGTGTTGACAAGATAGGTCGACAATCGATCCCTGTTTTTTTTAACAAATGTGTAGTCTTGGTTATGTAAATTCCACTATACAATCACCTTTTGTGTTTTTTCTTCTTCGTTTTAAATGTCTTTTATAGTTTTAAGTAAATTGAAATTTAAGCTTATCTGTGTATGCTGTTTAATCCTTTTTAAATTCTGTTGTAAAACTGCCCTGCAATTCAGCCCTTGGGCTGCTATTGGCAGTTTGAATTAAATAAACCAGCAATATTAATTATAGCGTTGCGCCTTCCTCGTTAAACTTGAAATCAAGTGGTTAGTCGGTCGTGTTTGTCGTCCATGAGCCATAGTGCTGAGCCCGTTCACCGTAGCCCGCGATTCAGCCCGTACGACGCGTGGTCGTGGGCTGTTCAGCCCCGGGCTTCGACGCATGTCGGCCAGCCTACGACCAGTGGCGTAGCTAGGATTTTACTAGTGGGGGCACAAAGGGGGAACCAGTATCTCATATGGAATTCCATATCTGCCGTCGCCCGTCGTCCGTCGCATTTTGCTTTTTGTTGTGTCCCAATTCTGCCATTTGCCAGTTCCAAACATGCCATTTTCTGTCGTGCGTCGCCCGGTCGTGCGTCGTCCGTCGTGTGTCACCCGTGGTTTTTTCTTTTTTTGTCACGATTGCGCAGTGGTATTTTTAACTTTGACCCTTGATCGTTTCACATGTACATGTCCTTGTTCGATCGATCCACCATGCCTGACTCTCATTTTAGTAATAGAACTAGAAGATGTACATGTATTCGTTTTTGCAGTTGCGCCAAACTCCAATTGAAAGAACAAATAATATCCTGACATCGGTTAAGTAACGTGTACATGAAATAATACCATTTTGGTTACATGAATAAATTAACAAAATAGACTTTTGTTAGGGTAGATTGTTTTTTTCGATAACTTAGTTACTCTAGACGTAACTTTACTCGTTAACAGCTTGACTTTAGGTATATAGCCTATGTAATATTTCTGTCTGTCCCTGCACGATTTCCCACAGAATGAAATGTAAATAATAGATTATTTACAATGTTTGATTCCTTAATAGTTTTCATAAGAGAGGAACTGATTCAACGTTATTTTGAGGGAGGAGGGTATACCTATGATGAAATCTGCTGTAAACAGTAACGTTACATGTTAGCCCCATAAATAATGTGCTGGACAACCTGTTCTCATTGGTATATCCTCCATGGCATACACACCCACAAAAACCAACACGTCATATTTTCTGAAACTTAAACCAAGTGGTAATTGCCCCCTAACAATACATTTAATAACCAGTTTGTTATCCA